TTGCCTTTCGGGAAAGCGAGAATCACAAACACGACAAAATCATTGTGAAGACTAGAGCTACGAAACAATTCACACGTAGTCACCACACGTATATGTTTAACCACTCCACCCAACCACCATCCTCTCATCCTACCTACCCACCTTCCCCCCACGTCAGTGACACAATGATACTTGAATTCAGGAAACAAACACAACAATACGCGCGTGCGTACGCGTGCAGGCCAGCCGAGCCTGTGTCACACGCGATGCAGTGTTGCTGTTCACACACTGAATTCAGCGTATCAAGTTAGTGCGTATTACAGTTCTGAAGCGACGCGGCCCTGCATCTGTATGAACCGCAGCGACAGCACCACGTGTTCACCACGTGAGCACCACGTGTTCACCACGTGAGCACCACGTGTTCACCACGTGACAATGTCGCTGCGTACGATGCGCGCCTCTTACCTCTCACGTCTCAATGGAGTTCTCAGGATAAATGGACCAGCAGGACAGGGACAGGAGACATAGCAGCAGAAGAGAGAGAGAGAGAGAGAGAGAGAGAGAGAGAGAGAGAGAGAGAGAGAGAGATGTATAGTATGTGTGAACAAGAGAGTGAGCGCGAGCGACGATTGGAAAAGAGCGACCAACCGAAGAGCTTACATTGTAATATTAGCCAGTAGTGACCGCGGCCATCTTGGAAACCACGATTGGAACATCGATTAACCTGTACTCGTATTTGGCTTCATCCGAGAGAGCGCGCAATCGCGCCAAATATTTATATACATATAAAATGGCAACAACGGGGAAGGGTCAGACTCTCGGGGAACAAATGCTATTTCCGCCGAATAGAGTTTCATAGCGCGCATGCGCTCCGAAATATATATATATACATACAATGCAGATGATAAACGCTCGTCATCAACATGATTAAGACGTCACATATACCGCACGCACGCACGCACGCACGCACGCACGCACGCACGCACGACGTTCGAGTAAATTATTAATTAAACGCAATAGCGATATTTTAAGAACATATTCAGCAGCCGAAGATGTGTCATCGGCGTGCGTTGCAATACACATCGCAGGGTGGAGCCACAACCATTATTATCTCCACTGACACGCCTGTGCTGCCACTAGCTCTACCCAGCGTAGCCCCCTACGTTCTCACTACAGTGTCCTGTAGCTACTGGCTCCTGTAGAGGGATCAAAAGGGGTACACAGGGTGGAGTTATGTTGTTTCGTGATCGCGCTTTACCGTCCTCTTCCTTAGTAGTGTACATAGTTTTGTTCGAGGCAGGGCGAACGGCAAACGTACAGTCGAAGAAGCAACACGCGACACAGTTCGAGCCGTACTTAAACAAATGATCCGAAACGAAATATCTATCATCGAATTTATCGTCCATCCAGAAAGAAATCTGTGAAACAAACACATTCCACGACTGATAGCACTGCTATACGATTCACGTTTTTTGCTCACTTCACAACCAGTAGATGGCGCACCTGTTGCTTCTCTCTCTCTCTCTCGCGTTTAACGGCATGAGATTATGGTTATGAGATTATATTACTCTAAGGTATAAATTAACCGCGATATGAAGTGCGTACGGCCGAGACACATACCACGAATTGCGGCCAGTAAAACGTAGCGAAAACTCCGACACGCAAAATCGAACATATAGAAATATACGAAAGATTAAGATTCCGACGTTTAATCATTTTCCATGTTTGTTCGTAAATTTCTTCAGCAAGCGCTGATGCAAGCAGTAACGGACAGTCTCCTGAAAAATGGAAATAGCTCTCCAGGTACTGGAATGTGTGGGAAAAGCCAATGACACCTAAACATTAGAGTCATATTTACACACGCGCACGCACGAGCGCGCACACTCACGCACACTCGCCACACACTCTACATCGATAAAGTTAGTTCTAGTGACTAATACACGTCTGTTTAATGATACGCTGCTCTAACAGAGTCGCTTCTCTGCTATATATATATATATATATATATATATATATATATATACTATAG